ACCGCCGGGCCTGTATGTCCCTGTCAGCTGCCACTGGGTCTGTCTGCCTCTGCGGGCCGCCAACGGGCCTGTATATCTCTGCCAGCTGCCACCGCGGGCCCACCTACCTCTGCTTGTCACTGCTGCTGGGCCCATCCACCTCTGCGGGCCGCCACCGGGCCTGTATGTCTCCGCCGGGTACCACCGGGCCTGTATCACCTCTCACTTTCTTTAATAGAGATAAGCTACCAGATTTTATAAACTGCATAAATTTATTTCTACCATGCCGCATGCTTTTGGTTTTGTGTCTAGAACTCCCTTAATTCGGGGTCACGCTATCTTCCTCTAGGAGTCCATCCGTTTGTACTCTATGTTTAGATGGAGGCTTCATTTTGAATTGATTTGAGTAACCTGTAAAGATAGGTCCAAGTTTCCTCTCTTTGTTGGGGGTGAAGGGAAGTTGGGGGTAAACTGTCCACTCCTCCCCAGTAGCACCCTTGTTGTGTGCTTGTGTGCTCACAGTGGTACGACACTTTCCTCCGCACAGAAGATAACATTCTCAGGTTCTCTGTTTTCAGCATGGCTGCTTCCCCCACAGCTCACCGTCTGTGGCAGTCCCTTGTATGGATAATGTTAAGTGCAAACCTTGCGCATGTCTGTGAATCCCTCCATCAACACAGAATAGTGTCTGCTCATTAAGTCACTCTGTCAGTTTTTAACAGGACTAGATGTTGTGGCTAATTTTTTAAATGTTGCTTCTGAGAGCCTTCTAGAAATCCTAACTATTCAATGCTGTGTTCCAGCCACAATCACTCCTTTTCACCGAGACCCTCGCCTGTCTGCCCTTACTGAGTTGGTTTCAGTTCCGGATTTATCTGAGACGGGAGGTGTAATCAAATATAAGAAGCAGACCCGATGGCCAGATTTCTATATCCTCTTTGAAACAGATGCTGACTACCAAAACAAAGTAAGTAAGTTTCGAGATAATATGTGTTAAAAGTGGTTGGTAAGGGAGCAGAACCCCATTGAAATTATTATATGAATAGGATGTATGGAAAACTTCAGAACATCCTAGTTCATGGCAAAGGAATAATCATCCCGGTGTGGCCCTAGACTTGTTTTCCCTGTGGTCTCTGATCTCTACTTACCAGTTGTTCAGACTTCCACTATAGACATGAGTTTTCTTCCCTACAGTTCTTTGGTAACATTGGCTCGCCATTCCCCAGCCCTTCCCTTACCACCTAACTGTATTTTTTTTTGTCCAAATTGATAATAGAATGTAATTATCTCAGCAACTTGTGTCTGGATTCTGTCCTGTCCAAAACAACTATGTCTTAAGAACTAGGTGAAGTCATAAATACATAGGACTGGCTTTCTCTGGGGCTATTTTTAAGAGCAGACACTTAAAAATCTGGTGACAAGCAGTGAAATAGATAGCTGGTCTCTGTAATACATAGTTTAATTAACACCTTGCTTACAAAGTTAAATATCTGAGTAGGCTATACATTTCCACACCTATGATAAAAGTTTTGAGTAACATTTTCATTCCCAGATTGAGTGTGTTCACTATTGTATCATTTTCATCCACAGGTTGAGTGTTCTGACTATTGTATCATTTTCATTCACAGATTGAGCGTTCTGACTATTGTATCAATTTCATTCATAGATTGTGAGTCTGCTGACGATTATTGGTAATTCAATGGGCCTGGTTAGCGATTACAGCTGCAGGTTTCTAAAGTATTGTTACATGGTAGAAAAGGCTAAAGTCATGAGTCTGAAACTGCCGTATATGGGGATCTTAACGTCAACAGAGTTTAAAGCTATAATACACAAATTCAGAAGCTACCTAAAGCAGATTGTGACTATGACTATTGAAATGCGCCTTGGAATTTTTTGCGTGAAAAGTTTGGATTATCAATTAACATGCTTACCGTATGTTGATGTCATCATAGAGATGAGCTACGACCTGTTACGTTATGCAATTGAGGAAAAAAGTACAAATCTATTGGAAGTAAGTCTTTAAGCCTTTCCTTTTTCATAAGAAGATTTTGGATTAGATTATAACTGTAAGATACACAATCAAAAATACACAGAAGTATTATCCTCAGAAGTTCCAAAAGTGGTGTGACTATATTTGCTTTTCTTTTTAACCTTCATCTTTGTGTGCGTGCATTCACATATGTGAATGTGACCTGCATGTGTGTTATGGCATGCATTTGGAGGTCAGAGGACAACTTCAGGCGTTAGTTTGTCTTCCTCTTTGTTTGAAATCATGTCTCTTGTTTGTATAGCATAAAGCAGACTAGAGGCCCTTGGGCTTCTGAGAATCCTTCTGTCTCCACTTGATCTGGCACTAGGAGCCCAGGGATTACAGACATGCATGCTACTGTGCCTGGTTTTGTGTAATTTATGAAGATCCAAACTTGAGTCCTCACAGACCATAACGAGTGCTTTACCCAACCCAGCAATCTCGCCAGCACTCACTTGAGAACTGTGATCACATTGAAATTTGCATCCAATGTCACTTTCCATCTTCTGTTTTGCATCACTATCTGGTATTATTTTAGATGTGTGTTTGTGCATCATCCCCTCGGTTAGCACATAAGACCTACCATGCTGTGGAGGGCTGTAATAATCCTGGACAGCTGACGGATTTTCAGTGTGTATAGGGCTCTTTGGGGGGTAGTTCTCTTATGGGGCAAATTTCTAAGACCACGGTCACTTGAAGCTTCTGTGAAAAACTGTGAGTATGTAAACATCTGGAGGCACCCTAAATTTAAGTTTCTAGGACAAATATGTATCCTAGTATACTAGCCATTGTCTATACCAACATCCTCAGTAATACCCTAGACCTGCTTAAAGACTAGAATTTATGATAACAGCTATCATTTTTCCTTAATTTAGCCAGACCACCAATACTTCTTAAACCTAAAGTTAATGCTGGCCACTGACTGCCTCTGCAATATAATGCTGAGAAGATAGCATCATTCTTGTACATACAGAGTCTAATGTAGCATAGAATCTTATCAGAAGTTATCTAATAGAGCCTGAGTGGGCCCAGAATAATTTTCAAGAAAAATGTTAATTACTAAAGGAGAAGCACCCGTGGTGTGGGAGCGCTGGGTTGACAGGCAGGATATTTCAGGCGAATGTTAATTTAGCTAGACTCTGTTACATATGACCCACCACCACCACCGAAAGAAATGAACTGGGACTTGCACAAGTTAGAACTAATTTCTCCGTCAGGTAATAGTAGTACAGAGAGAACGTAGGGTTACTGCAAAACTCCACATAGTCATTGAGAACTGGCTGCCTGGGCTCACTGTGCCTTCTCCTAAGCACCTCTAACATCACATCCCTCTTCTAGGCAGCAGGGCGGAAGAAGGCAACATGTCTGTCATGGGAAGTTGGGCAGTGGAATGTATTCACAGAGTTACCCTCCTAAGAGTTTCCCCATGCCATCTTGCATTTTAACTTATAATTAATTATTCATTACTTAAAAATAAGATTTTATTAATTCTTTGAGAATTTCAGGCAATGTATTTTGACCATATTCATCTCCTTCCCTAATTCTTCCTGGATCCACCCCCTCATTCTACCTACTCAAATCTGTTCTCTCTCTCTCTCTCTCTCTCTCTCTCTCTCTCTCTCTCTCTCTCTCTCTCTCTCTCTTTCTCTCTCAAACCCATCCAACCCAATCTGTGTTGCCCAGCTAATCTTGGCTCTGGAGCCTGCTCTGGAGTACAGTTGAGTTACCAGGGGTCAAATCATTGAAGAAAACTGACTCATTCTCTCTCCTGGAAGCTGTCAAATGCCAATAGCTCCCTAGCTTGGGGTGGACTTGATGTTTATCTTCCCTCTCCATTCTGGAATTTTGTCTGGCTTGAGCTTTCACAGGTTGTGAGAGCGAAGTTACAGTCACTGTACATTCATAGTGCAATGTCCCTGTGTGTCCGGAAGGTCATCTGTGAGGTCATCCACCAACTCTGCCCCCTCTTTTCTAAAAGTCCCTGAGCTTTGGAGGGGAGGAGTGGGTGTGGGTATCTCATTTAGGGCTACACATTCCAGTTTCTTATTCTTTGCACCTTGACCAGCTGTGGATCTCTGTGTTCATTGCCATCTATTACAAGAAGAAGCTTCTCTGATGATGGTTGAATCATAATTCTGTAACTTTACCATATATCTGATCTTAGACTAATTTGAGATCGTAGAATAATTGGAGATTCAGTTCCCTGTCTGACAGTGTCTCACTAAACTGGGACCATGTACTGGAGAATCTGGAATATAGGTAGTCAGAATGACTGTGATTCTGCTCATATTCCAGCCTCGCTCTTGCAATCTACATTACACTTATTATTTAAAGTTATTCACTGAGTATTTTGTGTGTGTTATAACATGTATTTTACATGTGAACTGTGGCCAAGCACTTTCTGCTAATGCAGAAGGATTTGATCATGTCACTGTTCTAGCATTTAGCAAGCACATAGAGTTATGTGCAGTTTATGTGTTATTGGTTTCTGAAATTACATTTATAGAAGTCAGAATTCCAAGTTAAAACCAATATTTTCTAAGATAGTGAAATTATTGCATACTTATCATTGGCGTGTTAATAATTTCAGATCTTAGATTCATCACTGCACCAACTGGATTGTGAACCTATAGAAGTAGAGGAATTTGTGAAACATTTTAATTTTTTGGAGGACATTTCCTCAAATGTATCTCAATTAGAAAAAGATTTCTCCACAATTTGTCAGCTGTATTCTGTTGTGAGGCATTACCAGATTGATATTTCTGAAGAGCAGACTGCCATCTACAGAATCCTTTTCATGAAGTTTAATCATCTGAAGACAGCTTTGAGGATGGTTGCCATGAATAGAGACGCCACCCTAACTAAATTCAGGAACAGTTTGGAATCGTACATTATTGGTCTACGAGTGGATGTCAGTAACCTAAAAGATAAAGTAAGTGCTTTTTATGTTGTTGTTAAAATTCTTATCTTAGTCTCGTGGAATGCTGTGCATGTAGATATTCATTTCAGCAGAATCATAGCTAAATAAGTTCATCCAAATGTATTTACCCTGTGTAGTGCTTTGAATGAGAAATGTCCCCATTTGAACACTTGGTCCCCAGCTGGTGGCACTGTTTGGGGAGGATGAGAAGGTGTGGCATTGTTGGAAGATATATGTCAATTCGGATAGGCTTTCAGGGTAAAATCCTCTCATACTTCCAGTTGCCTCCTCTGCCTCCTGCCTGAGCTTGAGGGAGCAAGCTCTCAGCTTTCTGTTCTGGCTGCCATGCCTGATATTCATAGTCATTGTTTCCCGGGTGCGATGGATTTTTTTTTTTTTTAAATCCCAAACTCTTCTATAAGTTGCCTTGGTCATGGTGTTTTATCACAGCAACAGAAAAGCAGCTAATACCCTCTGGGATTCACAAACAGGATTTTGATGATTTGTGAAGTTGGATGAGACGTAAGATCACTCGATCTCTTTTTGAGTAAGCTCTACCAGGAATTTAGCATTTTCTTTATCTATGAATGAGTGTAAGGACCAGGGAAGCAAAGTTCTTCAACAACTGCATAAAAGGAGGCAACAAAAACCAAGCTTCTCTAAAAGTGTTCTAGGCTTTTGGGTCAAATGGTAATACTCCAGTTTCATTCACTTTGTCATGTCAAAAAGTAGGTTCTTCACTAAAGACGTTGCCAGTAAGCCATGTCTGTGTTCTAAGCAGTCTGGCCTCCATGAGCATTTTTCCTGTTGCTTTTAGATAAGAAGTCCTGCTCTGGTGTGCGCCAGTACTCCAGTACCACAAGCCAAGGACATGGTCAAGACTTTCTCAGCAGAGGCTTCCAACTTGACTCATAAAGTGAAAACCTACTCAAGCTACCAGGAATATTACGATGATTCCCAGTCCCACATGCATTCTCTCAACATGGAAGAGATGACCCAGATCGTGCTGTCGGAGATCTCGGACATTGAGTGTGACCTGATGCTGAGGAAATTGTTATGGGAGGCACAAGAAGAATGGGGGATACTTTTCTGGAAATGGAGGGGCTGTACTCTCCAGAGCATCGATATGGATTTAGTGAAGAGCAATGTGTCCAAGTGGCTGCATATAATCATTGTCCTGGAAAAAGGTACCGTGTGCGTCTCAAAGCTCCTACAAACCAAAGGCAGAACCATGAGTCTTTGGCCTTCTCTCAAGGGCTGACCATTCATTGGATATCTGCAGAGAAAGACCGTTAAAGGAATTTAGGTAGAAACTATTTGCTAAAGCAAGAAACAGTTTAAAGCCTTGGGTAGGTGGGGGGGGGGGATAACTACAAGTAATTACAGTTTCTTTTCCTTTAAAGGTTGGTTTCGTGGGTAGAACTCCAGATATTTCAGAATCAGTTTTGACTCCCAGGGTTTGTGAGCTTGAGATGTCTTTATGCCAAGACCCTGCCTGCAGAATCTTTTCCTGAATTCTCTATATGACACTTATAGGATCCTTTGGGCAGTAGAGAAAACAGCTGAAGAAACTGTGACATTTGCCTGTGCTGACCATTATCACTTTTGAGATGTTGCCTGTGCATGCACACTGCACTCTGACAGCATTCTCTGTGTTTAACCTGGACAAGGTTGTCTTTGCCTTTTTTAAGTCTCCCTTGCACTCAATACACGTCAAGCTAGGAACCCTTCTCTAGAAGGACCATCTAAAGGCTTTAGTTTGCTTGTTGTTAAATTCTACAACCTAGGGCTGTAGCTTCGTGGTAGTGTGTGTGCTTTGGAGGATGAAGCCTTGTGTTCAATCCCTAGCAGCACAAGAGCAAAAGGACAAGTGTATAATATATCACATAATAAATATCACTGTCACAGTGGGGGTGTGGGACATGCCTACAATTCCAGCACTTAGGAGGCTAAGGCAGGAGGTTCACAACTTCAAGACTAGCCTGAATTACGTAAGAGCCTGTTCCAGAAAAAAATCCCTCTCAATTTTATGGCCTCTTTTTCAATGGTGATTATTGTTACATGTATAAATTCGACCTGCTGAGTCTGGAGTCTGTTTAGTGTTGCTTGTATATACATGAGTTCAGGGCTGAGCACTTGATATGATCTAACCAACTCGGGAGCTCATCCCCAGGGAAGACTAATTCTTTCTCTCTCAGAATTCCCTAAGTTGCCCATAGGTCTTTGTCTAGCAGGGAGGCCCTCTTCCATGTTAACATGTCAGATAGATAGATAGATAGATAGATAGATAGATAGATAGATAGATAGATAGATAGATAGATAGAGATATGTTTATACTTATATAATATATTATATAAATATATTTACATATAATATGTATACATATGTATATCTTGTCAGTGAAGGAAGACTGGGAAGCTTTGTGCCAGGTGCCATTCAGGCATCAAATTTCCCGAGACAGCTTGGGTCTGTTAGGCTTGGGATTCAGTCATTTATCTTGATAATTATTTTCCTATATTTTAGTCCTTAATCAATGGTATGGATGTTTAGCATCAGTAAAGCTTCATTGTTCTATAATAAAGATTAACAAATGATAAAATACCATTATATTGATTAGGAAATTTTAAAGAAAAGTTCTCATTTTCTCAGTTTGGTTGAAAAGATACGAACATATTACTAGTCTACCGATTTGCTGGTATTCACAGGTTTACCTAAAAATGATATGGTAACACACCTCAAGCAGTCAGTGTTAGACTTCAAGCAAGAGCTTCCGATCCTGACAGCCTTGGGAAACCCTTGTCTCAAGCCACGGCACTGGGAGGCTCTACGGGAGAGCACCGGGAAGTCTCTGGATCCAAACCTCTCAGTAGAGAAACTTCTAGCTCTGAAGGTAAATGAAAATAGTCAACAAGAACACATTGAATCATGAGAGGTGAGTTTCAGTTACAGGCAAGGAAACCTACAAGGAACATACATTAGAAAACAGGAAAGTAGGCAGTGTGGCTGGGACAGCACGGAGTCGGTGACAGGATGCTCCATTTAGTTGGGGGGGGGCGGTGCTCATTTTATACACAGTGAAAATATATCAAGAACATATTAGGGGGGCTGGAGAGATGGCTCAGAGGTTAAGAGCACCGACTGCTTTTCAAGAGGTCCTGAGTTCAATTCCCAGCACCCACATGGTGGCTCACAACCATCTGTAATGAGATCTGACACCCTCTTCTGTATATATAATAAATAAATAAATCTTTGCCGGGCGGTGGTGGCGCACGCCTTTAATCCCAGCACTTGGGAGGCAGAGGCAGGCGGATCTCTGTGAGTTCGAG